TTTGGTAGCATCCCTTCCCACATAATCACTCCCACAGAAAGTTATGGCTGGCCACCCAACTCAATTTTGCCCTGTATAAGTGTGTCACTTTTCCTATCAATAATCTTTGTTTTTCCTAATGCTTCTATATTACTGTCAGCAGAGTTTATGCATTCCGTTATTCTAACATTCCCCGACCTAGTGCCCTTCAAAATGTGTTAGATTACAACTGCCAGCATTCACCAGCTAGCCATGCTGGCTAGAAGATGCTGGGGATTTTAGTCTAACCGTTTTAGATAGCACCAGGTTAGGGAGGGCTGCGATTACTCCAAAAAATGATCAAACACAAATGGTGGGGGGACATCCAAAACAGGCCTTTCTTTCATTTGCTCCTGGGCATTCATCACACTGTTTCTCTGGAAGCAATGCAGAAGGTCATGAAGCATTGCCAGGACTTGTGGTGATTCGCTATATAGCATATGGTGTGCTGTATGAATTCACCAGAAAGCATGGAATTATCTTTCTTTCACACTTGTGGCCTGTTTCTCATAAGGAGGCTTGCCAATTCCATTGAGTAATAGTAACTAGCAAGAAATCCCATTGGCCAAAAACATGTCCAGACAGTTGGCCGGCTTCTCCACTTCTGGATCTAGCCTAAGCCAACTGTGACTTTAGCTTCCAGTTCTCTGTATCTGTCTGCAAAGCCATTGGCTTTCATAAGTAGCAAACAGTTCAAAGTTTCTCCTTCGGATGCCTAACCTTATTTCCCCCAAAGCTAATTGGATATTATTAGCCACTCATTAATGAGTCATGATCCTACACTCAAACATTTCACCATAATCTGATAATTTTCTTTAACAGAGAACGTCCTGTTTCAGGCCAAGGACAAAAAACAAAAACAAAAAAACCTCTAGATATAAACTATGCCTTTTAAAAAAACTACCACCACCCCCCGCAACCCCCCCAAAAAAACAACAACACAAACTCTTCTTAAGACTTCCCAGCATATAACTCAGGTCAATTTGCCTCTTACTCCCACAGCAAATAGCAGAGGTCAGTTTCCACTTGATCACTGGCAGCCAATTATGTGTTTTAAGTGTATAAATATATCAGCTTGGACGTCCCTTTTCCATGTGATCGTATTTTTAATAATGTATTTCTAAAACTAGTAACACTAGCAACCCTAGATAAGACATGAACCGCGGGAGGAGAAGTTCGTGCTTAGGCAGAAAATAGTATCAAACTTTGTGGAAGTGTGTGCGCGTAAAAGCTCACAGCACTTTGTCTCCAGTGGTGCAGTGATGACAGCGATATACTATCTGTAAGAAGCTGCTAAAGGAGGCAGGCACTGGGGACTTTGGAGCGAAGGCATCTGCACGCATACTGACCAGGGATATTACAATCTGAGTGGGGGAGACCCAGCAGCTGCAGGATCTGTGCCCAGGCAGCATGAGGACCAGTCCACTTAGGCCGACTCACAAGACAGAGGGCTTGCGAGTGGGTGGCCCCCTGGCTTGTTCTAGAAGGATTTCCTCGTCCATGAAAGAGCCGGAGTGCAGTCTAGGTGCATGCCTTAATCCAGCTTTGTCACTGAAGGTCCAGGAGGCCTTGGCAGCATGGAGCACCTTTGCCTAGCATCAGGTATGGCCATTCTTGCACAGAAATCCCTTAGCCTCCAGTCACATGTTCTGCTAACTGTCAGGATTTGAGCCATCTCAGGGCTCCCTCTGCTGGCCACAGGCCAGAACAACAGCCCTGGTAGTTGCAGGATTGGACCCACAACCTATTGCAGCTATCAGGGTCTTTATGAACGGCACCTGGGAGCCCTGGGGAAGAGCTATAAAAGCACTGGCTCTTCCCTCCTGAAGCTGCTTCAGCAATAGAGGTTTGCTGGCTGTGTGTGTGTGTGTGTGTGTGTGTGTGTGTGTGTGTGTGTGTGGGGGGGGGGGGGCCTGGCTCACTCTGTGGCCCCTTGTGCTCTGCTCCAGCCTTGCTTCACTTGCCCCAGCTCTGCTCCAGTCACTGTGCCTTTGCTCCAGCTCTGCTCTGGTCTAGTCCCAGTTGCTCCAGCTTTCAAGGTACCTGTTTCCCTTGGCTTGGCTTCTTGGTTTACTGATCTTTGGACTATTTCTGACTGTGCTTTTGAACTGACCCTTGTGCCGCACCCCGGTTGCCTGGGTTCTGGTGTTCTCGTCTGCCACCCACGCTCTGGATGCTGACACTAACTTTTCATTTGGCTTATTTTAAGGTGCTTACTGTACCTTAAAATCTGAGCCAGCTAGCAGAGTGTTGCTAAAACTATTTAATGCTACTTCTGGAAGAGCTGCAGTGGTCAGTATATATTTTCAGGATTAATTCAGAATTGCTATGATTTTGAGATTTCAGCCAATTGTAGGAGAATGGGATTGTTGCTGCTGTGGCAACTTTGGCAGAGGTGGAGGGAGCACTAGAGGTGGCAAAGATGGCACAAGGTGTCCCTTCCCTGCTGTATTGTTTTTCTATGTATTATTATTTGTTTATGTCATTGTTCTACCACTCAATAGGTGAAGCTCTCTGGGCAGTTAAAGTTGAAAGCACACAGGAAAAAAACCATAAAACAGTAGGACAATAAAACAAGCAATTGCAACTGAATCAGCACAGAAGTATAGCAGCAGCACATGATCAAATCCAATATAAACTGGAATTTATCCGTCAAAATACTGGGAAAATAAAAAGGTTTTCACTGGCATCGAAAAGAATGAAGAGTAGGTGCCAGGTGTAGCTCTTTGGGGAGCTCATTCCAAAGGTGGGGTACCACAGCCGAGAAGGTCCTCCTCCTGGAAGTCACCTTGGGAGAGACCTTCAGAGAAGGGCCCCTGAAAAAGACCTGAGGGGCTGGGTAGGGACCCGTGGGTCAAGGTGTTCTTTCAGATAGCCTGGCCCTAAGCCATGTAGGGCTTTGAATGTTAATACTAGCACTTTGAATCAGGCCCTGACTTCAACTGGCAGCCAATGCAGGTGCAAGAGGACTGGCACAATATGTTCTAGTAAGCCAGTCTCCATTAACAGGCAATGCAGCAGTAGCACCCAGGCTTCCGGGAAGTGCATCAGCTCCCATCTGCTGCTGCATGTATGCCTGGGGTACCTTAAGTAAGGTTTGGTGTGTCCATTGTCACCTTTCTCTTTAAAGGTTTCACTGAAAAGCACAACATATTTCATTTCCAATAATTTTATCCAGTTTTTCTACTTCAACAAACCTTCGAACAAGCTATCAAGAAATATCAGCACCACCAATATCACTACAATGATTAAAATAAGGAACAAGGACTTAAATGAAATTTACAACTTATAAAATCAGAAAGAATTGCTCAGCATATTATTAAAAGCAGGGCACTTGTTCGTACAATGCAACAGCCCTCTCATGGGTTAATCTGCAATGAAGCTGTGGGGTGCCAGTTTGAACAGGCACCCCCAGGTGGCTTCTGTTGTGCAAAGATCTGGCAAGAGTGTGCTATGCAAAGATAAGCAATCCTTGCATAACCCATGGCTAAATAGCCTACAACAAGCCTTGGCATGTCATCTGAACACAGTCAATTTCTCCCACTAAAGAGATCCCAAAGCTTGTTGACTATATTTGCACAGCCCAGCAAGATAAACTAACCCTTCTCCAAAGGGTATTCACTACCTCGGCTCCATACAGAAAATGTCCTGCCCTCCGGCCATTTTTCCATATCTCCAGTAATGAGGAAATACCCAACAGGACTCCTAGTTTTGACCTCAGGGTTCAGGTAGGTTTATGCATCACTGCCCTAAGATTCTAGGTGAGGGATGATAGGAACATGTAGCTGCTAGTGCGCAAACAGCCCTTCAGATTAACTTTCTATGGTTGCAATCCTATACAAGTTTAAGCAGGAAAAAGGGTCCACAATTCCCAGCATGCCCTAACTTGCATAGGATTGCACCTTGAATGCACACTGTGGGTGTGACCATGTCACAGAGACGGAATCTTAGAAATATCTGTGCTCCCATTGCATACAGTCTTTTCTATTAAATAATATTATTTGCTCCGCTTTTCAAATATAATTCTCGAAGATGTATTCCCGGCGGCACTCTGTGTTCTTTGCCGCCACAGGTTTCCTTCACACAGTCGCTCGCTCGCTCCAAGTCCCAGGCAGGTCCAGAAAATGAGGGACTTGTATAAGGAGCGTTTGCCAAAAGGCTCATTTCACCCAAGGCGCCTCAGGGCTCCGCCCGGACGTCTTTGCATTCAGTCAGCATTTATCCCGCAAATATAAGATGAAATTAAGGGCTCCACCCTAGGAAGATATAGGAAATATTTCAATTCATGCCTGTGACCGGGGAACGGTCGTCCTTGAAACCTATCCCGTGCTAAGGGAATTGCGGCATTAAGTTGGATCGGAGCAGGTACTGGGATCCAAGCGCATGTCCCACGATCATAAGCAAAAGGGAGTATGAATGATCGTTTCGCACGGAATGGTGGGGGGAGGGGCGGATGCCCACATGCTCCGCGATCTCCAGGCGGGCATGTGCCCCTCGCGGGGGCTGCGTGCCGCCCCGTGTGCGCGCCGGTTCGCCGGAGCCTCCGCGCGGAGCAGCCAGGGAGCGCTGGGGCGCGCAGCGGGCAGGTCTCTGCCCGGGATGCGCGGCGGCTTCGGCGGCGCGTCCTCTGCGGGCTCCTCCGCGCCCCTCCGCAAGGTGCGGCGTCGCGAGAGGGCGGCGGGAAGAGCGCCACCGAGCCCCCCCGGCGGGAAACCCGCGCCGCCCGCCCGCCCGCCCGGGCGCGGGGGCGAGCGGAGGAACGGCCCCGGCCCCGGCCCCGGCCCCGCTCGCTCAGCGGCGACGAGCGGAGCCAAGGCTAAGCACGGCCTCGGTGCGGAGCGCCGCCGCTGGCTGGCTGGCTGCTGGCTGGCTGGGGCGGGCCCTCCAGCCGCCGTCCCCTCTTTCTCCTCCCCCTGCAGGCTGGGCGCGGGGCCGGGCTCGCTCCAGCAGCCCCCGCCCGCCCGCCGGCTCGACCACCCGAGCAAGAGCAGCCGTCGCGGAGCAGAGACTCGCAGCTGCCCCTCGCCCGTCCTCCTCGCTGCCTTCTCCGCTCCTCCGTGAAGCCCCCTTCCCCGGCTCGGCGGCATGGCCCGGCGCAAGGCAGCCTCTGCCTTCCCCGGGCTCTGCTTCGGGGTCCTCTTGTGGAGCGGGAGCCTCCTGCCCTTCGCCTGCGCGCAGCCGCCGCCGCCGCCGCCGCCGCTCCAGCGGGGGAGCGTGTGGTGCCCCAGCCGCTGCCTCTGCTTCCGCACCACGGTGCGCTGCATGCACCTTATGCTGGAGAGCGTCCCCGCCGTGTCACCGCAGACCACCATCCTGTAAGTGCGAGGCGGGCCGCCCCGTCCCGTCCCGTCCCGCGCGGGGGCGCGCAGCCAGCCTCCCCTCGCGCCGGGCCGGGCCGGGGGGGCGCTTGGCAGAGCGAGGGAGTGGGACGGGGGCGCGGGGGGCGTCGACTGCACGTCCGGCCAGCGCGGCCCCCGCCGGCCTTTGTCTCGCCCGCTGGGCTCGCCGTGGGTGTCCCCCTCTGCTTCGGCTGCCTTCTCGCCGGGCGACTCAGCTGTAAGGCTTTCTTTTGTTAGTCCACCAGCCCACTTTCGTGTTTTGTCTACACGGGCATCGGGCCGCGGCTCACAGGGCTAGTTTTGGGGGTCGGCTTGGATACATCCAGTGTCCAGTAATATTGAAGTGGGAGCATTTAAGCTGATGGTAGACTCGGGGAATTCAGAAAGGACTAAACCGTTGGTTTAACCCCCCCGCACTCTTTCCCTGTGTTAACTATGTTTGGCTTGCCCGTGAGTTCAGTTCCAGCACTCCCGTTTAATACCTTGGAGGATCTCACTGCAGAAACTTCCTCAGAGAGCAGCCAGAACCCCAGCGCTCAGGAGTTTCATTGCTTTTACGTTTCTCATCTCTTTCTTTCCCCTCTAGAGTTGGATTGACAGCTCCAAGATCTTTGTGTGGCTTTGTCCTCTTTAGGAATGTAACCACTAGCCTGAGCGGTGTGGCTTTTCCAAGTCACTGGGCTCTGGATCCTCTTTGTTGTTGCAGCTTTCCATTCATCCTGCAGCACAGCCCAGCTCACAATGTCTGTTAATGAAGAGCTTTTTGTGGGCAAGGCTAGGAACATACAGGATTGGGAACCAATATCATTAGGGGTTTTTCTCATAATGGGGAATGCCGTATTTTGGGAAGTTGTGGTTTGTGTGTTTCCTTAAAGAAAATAAACATGGCCACGAAACAGGAACATTGGTGCATGAGTTATGAATTCTGCTTTCCCCATTATAATCACTTCTTTTGATTTTTGAACATGAATGATATTAGTGATATTAGATGTGGTTTACTTTATTGGGGGGGGGGGCTTTGGGGATAGTTTCTTCTTTGTTTGAGCTTGCATTGCCATAAATTAAGAGCCTGTGACAAATGACACCAGGCGAATACAAGCCCCCTAATCTTGCAGAGATTTATGGACGTGCTTCATGTTACCTACTGTGTGAACCAAGTGACGTCACTGCGTGTATTCTCTGTGCATTGAGGTCTTCCATGTGGAAGGCTTCAGCGCAGTGATAGCCAATGGAAGGAGGGGGCTTGCGGATTGCCCTCTTCGTTCTCTTGGCTGCAGATAGACCAGAAATGGTTGACTTTGTGGCCTGAATTTCATACTGCTTCGATTCGTAGTGAGCACAAGGGCAGAACTGAGGTATAGCAAAGGGTGCATAAAAACGCTTCAATCTGTGCATGTGTCATCGCAGATGCAAAAGTGCACTCGTGTGCTTACTATTGGAGTGTGCAGTGCATTTGTATGTTTACTACAAAACAATTAAATACTAAGATCTGACACTTGCTTTCACATTTTTATAATCTTACAAATGCTTGGAACAGTTATAGAAATGAATTAGCAAAGAAACAGGACCTAAATGATCCAGTTTGTGAAATTATTTCAAATTCCTAGAAGCCTCCATCACATTTGTAAGATCCAAGTATGCACAATTTTAAATTTACAGGCCATCAGGCAATCAGGATTTTCCAAGTCCTTTGTCTTGGCACTGATGGCTACTTTTGCTTAAAAAAGCCGTTTACTTTAACAACATCTGTGGAAACCCACAGGCTTCTTAACAGCCTTGCAGAAGTATTCACGCCCTTTTGACTTTTCCACATTTTGTTGTGTTACAGTCTGGAATTAAAATGGGCTTAATTGCCATTGTTGCCACTTTATGTACACAAGATATTCAACATCGCAAAGGTGCAAAATATTTTTATGGTGGCACGAAAGTCAAGTAAATAAAAACTGTCACTCGTTAGTTGTATATGTATTCAGCCACCCCCCCCTTGCTGTGATGCACTTAAATAAGCCCTGGTGCAATTAGCCAAATTAGCCTTTCAGAGTCACAGAGACTACCATTAATGGAGTCTACCTGTGCACAATTCCAGTGCCTCATGATGTTTGATTAAGTACACCTGCTTTGGGAACCCCCCACCCCCCAGTTTGTAGGAGAACACAGCTAAAGAAGCAGTTTCATGAAGAACAAGGAGCTATCAAAATATCCACAGGAAAAAAATGTGCAGCAGTACCAATCAGAGTTAGTTGGGCTATACTGTGACATCCCACAGAGTGCTGTTAAATCCGTCATTACAAATTGGGAAGAATATAGCTTTGCCTAGAAAAGGCCCTCCCCACAAACTCAGTGACCTGCTAAGAAGAAGGGCTTCAGTCAGAGAAGCAAGCAAGAAGACAATAGGAAAGCTGAAGGAGCAGGAGAGATTTGCAGCAGGGATGGGAGAAACTGCCACATGGGACAGCTAATACCCAGGCACTGCAGAACGCTGGGCTTTATGGAAGGGGACAAGAAGAAGGCCATCGCTTAAAAAACACCCCTTGTTTACAAAACGCATGTGGGAGGTACAGCGGGAAAAGGTTCTCTGGCCCAGTGAGAGCAAAACTGAACTTCTTGGTGTTGCTGCAAAATGCCATGCGTGACACAAAGCCAGCAACCCTCACTGCTCTAGGAACACCTTCCTCATGGTGAGACACGGTAGTGGCAGCATCATGATGCAGGGAAGATTTTCTCCACAGGGACTGGAAAAGTTGTCAGGACTGAGGGCAAGAGGGATAGGGCCAGGTGCAGGGCAATTCTAGAGGGAAACCTTCCAGGTTGCAAGGGACCTGGGCATGGTTCACCTTCCAGCAGAGCAGTGACCTTGAGCTCCGCATCCTGGAGTGGTTTAAAACAAGAACCTGGATGTCTTGGAAAGGCCTGGACCTCACTCCAACTGAGAATCAGCAGCAATTTGCTATTCACTAGCTGTCCCCATCCTGCCTGACAAAGATGCAGCAATTTTGCCAGGAAAAAAATTGCAGAATTCAGACATGCAAAGCTGTTAGGAGCTTACCCAGGAAAACTCACTGCTGTAATCACTGCCAAAATTGCTCCTAGCAAGTCCTGACTTGTAAATGGGGATGGAGGAGATGAATGCCTTCCCAATATTGAGTATCTTGCTTACATCAATTCCAGCTTGCATCATAACAAAAGGTGGAACTGTTATAGAGTTCTACTCAAATTTTTCTGAATAACAGACATGCTCATGGAGGAAAGACTCACTTGTACTCTGATCAATACATGTTTCTCCAGAAATGCACTGGATCTTACTGGAAATCACAACTTAGTTTGTAAACACAGGTTTTAGCTATAAGAATTTCCTGTCAGTTCAAATGTAACAGTAGATGTTAGGTTTCCTAGACCTTTAAGAATATCTTCCTGTGTTTCAGACTCCAAATACCACTCAGAATGAAAAGTGCTATTATTTTGCCATTAACTGAGTGCTTGGCTTGATACACAAGCTTTTGGCAAGATCTGATTAATCCTGCAGAAGTTGTAAAGAAATTAACTGAATAGTGCTGGAAGCGGGTAGGTAATATTCCATGCATTTGAAAGAAAGTACATTTACAGAGCATTTTTATATTGATCAATATGCTTTAAGTCATTTCCTGTAATTCGGTCTTGTGAATGACCTTGAATAGTACTTTATGTTGTAATGGTCAGAAATGGCAGCTCACAGCTAAAATTTAGACCAGCCTTCCCCAATTTAGCATGGTTTAGATGACCACATCTCGTACCATCGGTCATCAAGCTGTGCCTACTGGGAGTTGAGATTCAAAACTTTTGGAGGACACCAAACTGAGGAAAGATTTGGAGGACACTAGATTGAGGAAGGATAGTTTATGCGGATTCCAGAAATTGTAAGGGCAAAGTATCTGATTAAAACTACTGAGATTTAAAGTAAATTGGCATTAACAGCTGCATTTTAATAAATACTTGTTACACTGGCTATTTTAATTGAGCTTTGTGTTCACACTGGCATGGGACCTTGAGACAGAGAGAAGGGTTGCCTTTTATAGTAGCTTGTCTGATTAGTTTCAGCCTTTAAGAACTGTTATGACTGCTGTTATGTAATCTGGAGTATATGGTTTATTTTACCTTATGGTAGCAAGACAAGCTTGCAACTCATCTGCCTCATTGTCTTTCCTTGCATTTTGAGATCATGTGTTTCTCCGAATGTTAAGTAGCAGTAGTATGTAAAAGGTGGAAATAGCCTGGGTCGTTTTCAGCATTACATTGTCTTTGCACCAGGACAACTGCTTGCAGAGTTTGAGCCATAGGTGGGTCATCGGCCTTTCTCACTTCCTGTTTAGTTCTTGTCCCCTTTCTGTGGAGACTCCATTAGAAAGATACAGCACTTGCATTTGTTTCTTGGTCTGGATGCCTGAGAAGATTATCTGTGGTATTTTGTTAAGAAAGCAGATCATAGCATCAAAGTAAGTAGAACATGGCTTGAGGACTGTAGCATGTGGCACTTGTTCAGAGAAAGAAATTATACCAGGAAGATTCAGCCATCAAATACAATATTGTACAACATCGTATGTGCTGTATGTTGATTTGTTTAGTTGCAAAGTCATGGCTGCCCCATCATGACCCCATTGACAACACTCCTCCTGGTTTCACACAGTTCTGGGTTCACACGAATGTTAGCTGGGTTCACACAATATAATAAGCCATGATGGCTTATAAGCAAAGAGTGTCTTGTCATGTTGTCTGAACCTGACAGCATGGTTTGATAACCACACACAAACTGTTCCAGCTGGGTTCAGACAACCAAACAAGCACTGGACTTGAAGCCACCATGGTTCACCATGTTTGTGTGAAGCAGGTGCAGCCTCGGGGGTGGCTTCTTTGTGGCTACAAAGCCACCTCAACAAACCATGGCTGGGCTTGTTGCCACATCTGGCCTTGTGTCATCTGTACTGGGTCATGACCTGGGATAA